AACTATCTAAGCATGTCGCCTGCCTTCATAAATGAGGCCTTTGCCTAGGGCACTCTTAATGTACTTCAATATCCGAATTACTGCATTTCAATGGTTTTTGGAAGGAGAATTCAAGAATGGACTCACCACAGTCCCTACAAATGCAATATTTGGATGAGTGACAATGAGATAATTCAGCTTCCCAACTAACCACTAACTTCTCTTAGGATCTGATAATGGCTCCCCCTGATTGGGTAGCAATTTGGCATTAGGATCCATAGGAGTGTCCATGGGCTTGGAATTCAATAGGCCAGTTTCTTTCAGGATGTTGAGCATATTTTCTTTGAGAGATTACCAAACCATCCTTGGATTGAGCAATTTCAATACCTTGGAAATATTGAAGCTTACTGAGGCCTTTAGTTTAGAAATTGAGTGAGAGGTAATGTTTCAAGATGAGAATACCATGTTGATCACTACATGTGATGACAATATCATCCACATAGACAATGAGATATACAAGATAGAGTGGTCGACGTCAGTTAGAATCATATCATATTGTTGCATAACAACACAAAATTGGCCAAACCAAGCCCAAAGGGATTGTTTAAGTCCATGTAGGACCTTGTGAAGTCGACACACCATAGTAGTGAACTCCCCTTGAGCAACAAAATTGGGTGGTTGCTCCATGTAAACTTCATCAAGATTGCCATGTAGGAAAGCATTTTTAATATCAGGTTGGAAGCGAAGCCAATGTCAAATGGCAACCATGGGGAATAGTAGGCTAACATAAGTCATTTTGGCCACTGGAGAGAAAGTATTAGTGTAGTCGTGCTCATAATATACATAAATAGATGATATTTTGTTTCCTCTAAATCAATATGTGCCTATGAACTACTATTGTGACTATAAATGCAAAATATCATATTCTGATTAATAAGATATACGTGCCTATAGACTGCTATTATTACATTAAAAACAGTGATAAAAAAATCTATAGCTCAAGTAAAGTTACCAAAGAAGCAAGTGCTTGTAAGGATCGAAGAGCTTAGGGGAAAAGGCAAAGGTACGAAGTGACAAGTTACTTGACACTCAATATTACAAAAGCCGTATTTGGAAGGCAGGCGAAAATGTAGTCATATACAATACACTATACTGAAGAATAAATATCACTTAATGCTAACCGAGCAATTGCGCTCATAAATACAATGAGAATGGAAAAATGTTACTGTGCAATTCATGTTTGTAGTGAGCTTTTGTATAGAAATGAAGTTATTTAGTTATTAGTCAATTTTGGGTTATGTAGAATTGTACGATTCTACCTTGCTGTATTACGTCTTAGTTTACGCTGATACTCATTCCAAAGCAGACTTGTTGGACTCGTTCAAAGTCATGGAATCATGGGAACGATGTCTTTTTCGAGTTGGTTTGTGTCACATAATGTGGGGCCAACTTTAACATTTGGGCCAAAGTTTGACATTTTTGTTTTGTTTTGGGCTATGCCCATAAAGTGTAACCCTAAACAACTAAACCTAGTGGACCCTAACAGTAAGAGTAACATGTCTAACACATTCAATCGACAAACAAACTACTGCTCTGCTTGTATCATGAACCTTCCTTCAACCTCGAACATTTGCTACCAAAGTTGTTCTCCAGAGAATTCAAAGGCATTCTCCGACACGACCAAAGCTGTTGTGTGGTGCGACCAAACCCGCTTTTATTTTGTTCATCTAGATGAGGCTCATCTTTCTAAATGGTATATGAAGGAGAAGATGGAAAAGTTGGAAGAAATAAAGATATCTTAAGTAATTATGATTTTAATCAGGATGATCTGTTTTAGCCTTAGGGTTGGTCAATTAGAGGCCTGAACTAGGTGTTTTAACGTTTTATGTTGTTTTGTTGGTCATTTCAATTCTGTATGGGGTTTAGATTTTGACTTTATTATACTAATGATTTGTGATTATGAGTTTAAGCTTAAATTAAGTATTCCATGTGTTATGATGGCTGTTTTTTTTCTCTTATTTATACTATCTTAGATGCATATATATATATATATGTGTATATATACATACATATATTTGGATTTTATAAATCTAGTAAAATCTTACATTTCATGTTACAATTTCACAAGTTATGATTCGGTGACCCTTTACTGAGTCAAACTAAAATCTCAATTTTGACTACTTTGGTTCTTATGGTCATTGTTCTTAATTATATGCTTATGTCAGTATTTCATTTCATTTGTTTCAGTTCTGCTTCGGGTATGTATAAGATAGTACGCCCCCCTGTTGGAGAATCAAACCGGTATGTATTTTCATGTAATCTGGCTTTGTTGATCTTTTCAGTTTAACTGTGTTTTTAACCATCATCGCCCCCTAAATAATATAGGGAGATGCCTCTGTCTGAATTAAAAGGTAAATATAGAAAAATTTCATCTTTAGAGAAGGCTCAATCTGGTTGGGAAGAGGAATATGAAGTTTCATCTAAACAGGTATATTTCTTCCTTAAGTTACTTTTCCTATTTGTAAATTTGCAAGAAAATCGATGTGATTGCAATATTGAAATCTTGAGGCTTGACAGTTGACACAAATAGTCAAGGACTGGTTGTGACTGCTTAAGCAGGTTCTAGTATTATTTGAACAAAAATAAATAACACTATTTGTTACAGCCAATGGTTGTATAAATTTATAAAATGCCATTCCCCTTTTACTGTCTATCTATAAATAAAATCTACAAAGAAAAAGGCAAGGGGGCAAAGTAAACATTCACAGGAAAATGCACTAAGAACCTTGTTATTTGTACTTCCCTTGTAAGATAAACAAATAAACTATCATAAAAAAAAAAGAAGATAAACTAATACACTATTGCCCTTTCTAATTACTGTGAAAACCTGGGACAATTGTCATGTAACTGGCCATGCACTTAATAGGTAATTATATTAGTTTTGTATTACTCCCCTGCTGTATTGTATATATCACCTATAATCTCATGGTCAGTATTGTGTAGCTATGTACGTTAGTACCTAAAAAGACATTTAGATGGAATGAGAAAATTTGTTGTCTTTGTTGACTTTGTTGTCTTACACGACTTCTTTTTACCTTTATTGGCAGTGCATGCATGGTCCCAATTGTAAGATTGGCAACTTTTGTACAGTTGGTAGAAGACTACAGGAAGTAAATGTGTTGGGTGGCCTCATCCTTCCTGTTTGGGGAGCTGTAGAAAAGGCCCTTTCTAAGCAGGTACTTGTACAGCATATAAGATTCTGGGAACCAAAACATTTTATTAATCTGATGATTTGAGCTGAATTTGGAAATGCTCAGGTTTACAGTTTGAAAATTCTAGCAATGGGCTTGGATTATGATATCACTAGTCAGTTTTCTGATTTAATATAGTATTTGTTAAGATAATTCTATAAGATATAGTTTAGATAAACTAGTATATCTAAACTATATCTTATAGAATTATCTTAACAGTATTATTTGACACAAACCCTGTCTGGGGGGTACAGTAACCTTTGAGGTTCAATAGAATTAATCTTTCATAAAAAGTTCATTTGAGTGGGATTTGTTTCCTTGTTGAATAGTTGGATCATTATACTTCTCATGACTGCACTACTAAAGACTGATTATAAAATATCTATTTATCGGCAGTACTTTTAGAAATTGCTAAAACTATATTTTTTTAAAGAAAACTAAACTGCAAAACAAAATCTGTGCAGGCCCGCCTTAGCCATAGGAGGCTACGTGTTGTACGCATTGAAACTACTGTGGATACCCAACGTATTGTTGGGCTTCTTGTTCCTAATGCAGCAGTGGAAACTGTGCTTCAAGGTTCTCTCTCTGAAACACACATTCACATTTTTGAATATGCATTCATGATTTGCCTACATAAAAGATAGAAAATGAATACAATTGTTTGTTCAATGTGCTTGGTAAGTGATTTCTTTTTTGGACTTAGATATTGTTCCTTTGGACTACATAGGTGCAATTTTGGACTGGATTTAAGATCGAAGGACATTCACTGAATATACTGTTTATATTTTGTCTGGGCTCCTTTAAATAGTTGTAAAAGAGTTGACTTCTTTTAAATGCATATAATTTGGTGTAGTCAAAGGATTTCCTTAACTGTTAAGATTGCATCAAGGGTCAACCTTGGGCACTTAACTTTTTTACCTTGATTTTGGATTTACTTACTAACAATATGCAGGTGTTAGTACCTCTGTGCTTCTTGTAGATGATTTAGTTTTGTTCAGAGAAACTTTTGGAATCACCTGTTTTTGGATTAAGATCAAGTACAATAAATATAAGTTTAGAAAAGATATGCAGTTAACAATGGCTTGGAGGTGAAAATGGGAGATCATGCTAGAGTTAGTCACACAATGTAGGTGTCTTGGATTTAACATGGAAAGTAATATACAGATAGAGATGTAAATCATAGGATCCAAGTTGGATAGATGAAATGGAGGAGTGATTTAGGTGTGTTATTTGTCATGGAAAGATGCTCCCCAGGGTTTAAAGGAAAATATTAACTTGTCGTTCAGCTAGCAATGCTCTTTGGTATTGATTGTTGAAAAGTGTCAACAAGATCATAAACAAGGTGTTGCTCTTGTTATATGAAATAATTAATAGATGAATTATCTGCATTTTAATCTCTTTATATTTTTGTCAATTATAATGAAGAAACTAACCTAATTTTATCTGAACATCGGTTGCAGGTTTAGCATGGGTTCAAGAAATTGATGATTGACATGTGATGATACGCATTGCTCACCTTTTGTTTTTAGCAAAGTTCGAACTTAGGTGCCCTCTTTTGCAGTTGCTTGCACTAACACCAATATTTGGTGTCTTCGAATGTCAACAAGCAATTTTTTTGGAAAGGCTCGACCTTGATGCGGAATTTTTTAGAGGGGAAGGGCTTATTCTCTACGCCTCACAACACAATTGTGCAGTCTCATTTAGTTATTATTTTGTCACCCATTTTGGGATATAATTCGATTTTGTATATTTGTAAAGACGATTCACTGGAAAAGTGAAATACTAGATAGCTAGGTTGTATCACATATAGTCCAGTCTGAATCTGAATTAGTTTGTATCAGATATCATGAATGATTATTGAAATCATAGTTGAAGTAAATATTCCTTGAGCTACATTGATTGTCCAAACATAGTATTACACGAGCACACCATGCACAACACATTATTGTTTCTCTGCACCAGATGATATCAGCACACGAACAGGCCATCAACATGTTGATCACTGCAATAGAGTCCTGGTTGTTGGGTGAAACCTCCCCTCTTCAGCTTCTCTCTTGCCTTCAAAACAAGCTCTTGATTTGTGACTGCACCATCACTCTCCTTAATTATAGCCTGTATCGCATTGCTAAAAGCTCCATAGGCACTGGCAGCATTACCTGAAGGACTTGCGTCTGCAGAAGTTTGATCCGTCTGACAACCGCTCATCAGAATTCCACCTTCTGGCAGGCGGTGTGTGGTTGAACCAGCATATGCCTCATATTTATTTTCTACCTTTGTCTCCATGGCAGGTTTTGCATACCCATAATCGTTTGCATCAAGCTTTTGCTTGAGAAACTCTTGAGCAAGACTACCCACCAACCCCAATATTCCACCATGTTTTTCACTTCCACCATCTCCATGTTGGAGTTTATTCAAGATAACCTTCATGAACTTCTTTACTTTAGGGCTAGCATCTTCCCCAAAAATATCATAAAGTGTAAGTCTCAGTTTCCCGATGTCTATATCATTTTTCCCAGTTTTCTGCTTCAGTATGTCTATGATGGTAGAAAGTGGCAATGATCTATTCTTTACATAGCCATAGTGCTCATGTGGAAGTTCAATGTCCCTATCATCAGCTTCAACGTCATTCTTGTGTCCATGATGGCGCAATACTGAAGGGATATGAATTCCACGAGACTCGATGGCATCTTCCACAGTACGACGAAGAAAACTGGACAATCCAAACCCAGAACCAGAATGGTGCCCTTCTCCTTTTGTACTATTTCCTATCTGCTCCTTAGCCCCGTCAATTAGGCCACCACTATGGCAAGAGTCTGATACTATTGTGAGCTTGCAATCTCTAGGCACCCCTTCTACAAATTCCCTGAAATCATCATCTGTTACATTGACACAGTTTATTAGTTCCCACAAGAACAGTTTCAACGCACATACAGATTCTTCTAGAAAAAACCAAAATACTACCTTTGAATTAAGTTTCAAGAAAACAGAATTACTCTAGTAAAAGAAAAGCATTGCAAACATCACAATTAAGGATGGATTTGGTATGATGACATTATTCGGTCTGACAAAATCATAAATCAGTATTTGTAATGAGATGAATCTTTGAAGTTCTTTTACTTCAGTTATACTCAAACTGACCAATAGAGACCAATTTTTGACTCCATTTCTTAGAAATTCCACTCAAAGTTATACCCACCCGTTACAAAAGTAACAAAAACATCATCATTTTAACAAAGTGCTTTTATTTTTAACACGTATAGCTTGGGATCCCCATCCTATAAAAAAAATATCAAAAGAGGGAGGGGAGATCAGAACATAAAATTGAAATGGAGAATTCATCCAATCAGTGAATATCGTTTTGAAAAGCAAAAAGTGAGGTAAGATGTGACCAGTGATGAGGTTCATATCGGAAGGAACAATGCATTCATCATATCCAGTGTCATCCTCCTCTCCCGTTTCCGCAGGGAGGCGAGTGCCGTGTCCGCTGTAATGCACGAACAGAACGTCCCCTCCTCTCGCCGTCCCTATCAGCCTTGTCAACGCTGACCGAATGTTCTTCCCCGTTGGCTCCCTATACGCCTTGTCCGTGTCGATCAAAACGGTTATGTCGTTTTCCGAGAACCCGTATCGCTCCACCAGACACCGCTGCATCCTCCACACGTCGTTTACGCACCCTCTCAGCTCCGCCTTCGTTCCTGGGTAGTTGATTCCGATCAAAACCGCCTTCTTCGCCATCCCTTTCTCAACTACCAGCTTCCACTCCTTTGTTTTCTTCCTCTCTTTTACATCATATTTCACGAACACAAGAGTGTTTGTTTCCGTTATTATACTACTACGTCTATATAAATACCTTTTCCAAATTTTCTTTTCTTTATATAAATATTAATTATTTTCATTATATATTTTTCTATTTTTTTTAATGTTTTTCATATATTAAAAGAATGAGACGATGATTTTAATTAATTTTAAGGATAATTTTAAAAGTAATATAAATTATTACTAAATTTAATATTATTAACTAAATTAACCAATTATAAATTAATTAAATTGGTTATATATATAAGTGCATTAACAATATTTAGAGTGCAAATCAGTTGACGTCGAATTATTTTAACTTAAAGGACTTTTTTAGTTAAAAAAAAAATCCTGCAGATTTTAAAAGACTTTGCAGGATTTTCACGACTTTTAAGACTTTCCAGGATTTTACAAGATTTAAAATCAGGATTTTAATGGATTCTGTAAAACTTTTAAATCAAGATTTTAATAGATTATGTGAGATTTTGTAGAATTTTCGTGAATTTTTGACATTTGATAAGGTTTCAAAAAAAAAAATTATACATTCAAATTTAAAAAGAGTCAAAGATAAAAATAATAAAAAAATAACAATGTCTAGATAAATAATAATAATTCTTCATAATATCCTATCCTCTTAAATAACATTCACCCACATATCTATAGCTATACTAGTCCTTTAAGCATTAGCGTCTTCTCGCTCTTGCTCCTGGTTTGAATAATAGGCTCAAAAGTATGATCTTCATTAACCGATAATGTTGAAGATGAAGGTTCCTCCACCGCTTCAATTGGAAATTCGTCAGAACGACATTTTTTTATGTAGAAAGTTATGTAATGTTACACATACTAACACAAGTTGTACTTGTGTCTTAAATAAAAATGGAGGTGTTGACTTAAAAATTGTGAACCTTGATTTAAAAGTACCAAATATTCTCTCGATTACATTCCTTAAAGACGCATGACGAAGATTGAACAATTATTTCTTATTTTTAGGGTCATTATCCTGACCTCCAAAATCTTGTAGATGATATTTTAACAATATTTCCTTTTTTTAAAAAATAAGTTAATGAAGACATAAACCCTAAACCCTAAAAATTAGATATTGCAATGTCTTATGTTAATTTTTTTTAAATATAAAAAAATTATAATTTCACAATATAAAAATTAAAAAAAAATCATAGTAAAAAAAAATAAAATATTTGTTGAGTCATAAAAGGAGGAGAGATAAGAATAACAAACTCATGGGAAGGAGAGAGGTTGCAATTTTTATGCTGAGAGGGTTCTTCCCCCAACTAAGATTCATTTTCATCTCATTCTACTCACAAAAATCCTAACTCAAATTCATCTTATATATATATATATATATATATATATAT